ACGGCTATTGACGCCATCGGCCACAAATCTTAAAATGTTGAAGCAATTGACTAGCATTAACTTTGCGCTTGTCAAATTGCTGACATTATCGCAGTGCGGTCTTGAAATTCAAATGGGCCCTGCCCTTACCTTACCTTGCCGTATTGCCATATCTTGGCCGCATTGGCATGCTGTGAAGTTGAATGCCGAACATGAGGCACAAATTCGTCGATCTCTGAATTAATTAAGTGCAGAAAATGGAATCTGAAATGTGATTTTGTAGCTGCAAGCGCAGGCGTGCGCCGCAGCCAAAACAAATCGAGGCAGAACCAACAGCCACAGCCACAGCCACAGCCACGGCAACAGCCACAGCCCCAACCACATTCGTACTCCGACAACAACAAAAAAGCCAACACAAAACGCTAGCCACGTCCACATTCCTCGTACCAACCACGTAGCTGCTTGCCGGCTCGACAGACGAGCGTAGGCCCGGGGGGCGGAGGAGGTGGCTTCCCTTGACGCCCGCGCCCGCTGCTGGCCCCTCGCTCGCTTCACTCTGACTCACTTTTTGGGCTGAGTCTGGATCTGCGCTGGGCAAATCAAAATCGTTGCATTTCATTAGCCATCAGCCAGCAAACACAGACCACAAACGTAGCCAGCCATATGCCGTGCCGCCTCTGTTTTTGGCCATAAGAGCGGGCCGGGCCTAATACGTAATTTATGATTGCGACTAATACACACACGCACACACCAAATCAAATATATTGGCCTATGCATTTGTCATGATCTGTGCCGTGAAAGCATTTACATAAATTGACATTTCAATTCGAACTGTTTTTTATCATCTGCAGCAGATCTTCAACAAGGTAAAACAACTCTTTCCAGGTATCATACCTTAGCTGAAGCAAGGTGTAGAAGAGATTAGAAATGCATTTATATAAGAGCAGCGCTATCATAGAGCAGACACAGTTGATAGAGTAAAGATTTATTGAGGCTGTGGCTTGAGCTTAAGCCGAGCTTATGATCGAGGGACCCAATGTGAGCTCACAGAGTGCTGGCATACCCTCTATACCCTATAAGAGATGCGTATGTGTGTCTGCTTGCCCTGCGTACATAGTTAGACAGTGAAAGTTAAGATCCGTTGCAATTGAAATTCAATTATGCTGGCACCAATAGCCAGCTCTAAAGTGTGTTAAGACTGCGGCATGTGGCGTGCGGCACTTGGCATTCGGCATGCAATATGCAGCGTCAAACTTTGTCACTTGCCTTGATCCGATCCGTAGCCAGCGAAGTGGAGAATGGCATCTGGTTTGAGAGAGCCAAGTCCAGATAGCTGTAGCTGATCAATCAATGATCTCTGTCGAACGCGCTCTCTTCAGTCAGGCGGCAGTCAGGCTTGATTGATTCGAGTCAGGGTTAAGGTAAATGTCACAGCAAAATGCGTTCTCTACGAAATTTCACGCTCAATTTGACAAACCAACACGCTTAAGCATAGCTAGACCAATAAACTGATCTCTATAATGCATTTAGCTCTTATACGTTTACACACTTCGCTCTGCTCCTGACATGAAACATGACATCATTTGCCAAACACTCGAAAAACACTCGAAAATTTTGTTTTGTTCGTTATTTAAAGAATCGCAGTTTGTTTTTGGCTTGACGATTCGCTAACTAGGCAAGAGCAACAATAGGCAAATTGGTTAATAATATACACTTGGCTGATCAACTATGAGATATGCTTCGAGTTTTTTCCATAATAAATTGTATAAACTGGACTAAAACAATAATGAAGCCATATTCTGAGCTGCAGTTACTTCCAGAGCTGATTGCTTTGTTTGGATTACGTATGCGCACTTACCGATCTTTTTCTAGCATTGCGTAGGCACTCAGATGCCTCACTTATGCCAAGAAGTTTGATTATTTGTACAGCTCAGTTAAACTCTGCTTGGACTCGTCTTTGATTTTTGCCTATGCCAAAAATAAGCAGCAAATAATCTCTAACAAAATTTGGTCTATAAACAAGACACTAAAGTCCCTGGTTTCCTGTCTTTTTTCTTGTATCCTCAACGAAAGAGGTCCTTGATAGGAGGACATATAATGGCTGCAGTGAAGCAGCAGCTGAGCACGTTGGCACAACTGCATAAGATATAATATGTAATTCCAATTTTTATATATTTATAATATATATTTATAATTACATAAAATATACATTTTTTAAAATTTCAAAGCAATTCCCTGCAGCTATATAAATATATATAAATTCTATATACAAGCTAAGCTTCAATAAATCTTAGCTTGCATATGTAATAGACAAGTAAAAAAGTCTTATATAATACACAGCACCCCAAAAGTTCTAAATATAACTCAATTAAAGTCCAGCTCGTTTGCATTTCAAATAGATGTTTTTAAAGCGTTTATTTTTCTTTGCTCGCTTTGGCCAAAAGTCGTGATTTGCGTGTTAAAATATAAAAGCTGTTAAGACGTTTGTTTTTTATAAGCAGCTCAGCTACGATTTAGCTGCTGCTGTTGCTGCTACAGGGTATATGTAGTTGGCATTACGCATACGCCGCATGTGCCGACACTTAAGTTTCAGCTTTTTTTCCCTGTTTTTTTCTTGAATGCGAAAACCTCTAACCGAGTTTGCCTACACACAAACTGCCAGCTGTTGCCGTTGTTGTAATTGCTGTTGTTAGTGGCAAAGCTCGTTGAACAACATTTAATTTTTAGCCAAATGTTTGTCTGGCACTTTGACGAATTCGTTAGGCTGCTCATGGAGCTGAGGCAGAGTGCTCACCATTTGGTTGCCCATCTCCAAAAAAGCGGAGTTCAACTGGCCTGGTCCCCCACCCCAGTCACAATGTTTGCTGTTAACTACTTTATGAGAGCTGTTGGCACAAGTACAGCCCAGGCATCTACTCAATTACCGCTGTAATTGAGAGGCCATGGAGCCCGAGCGTCGTAGAGCCGAGTGCTCTGACCCCATTAGTTCGGCACACACGAGACTCGAAGACGGAGCTCTTGTGCTATCATTTATTTGTGGCCGGCTAATGGCAATACGTCGCGATAAGATAAGGCTCGCCACTAGCCTGGGCGATCTCTCGCTCCATGTAATGGAAAGACCTCAGTTTGGGACCAAGCATTTCACAGAGATATCGCCATCAGCGAGGACTTTCTGCGCCCGCCCGCCGCATGCAGCGTGCCAATTTGCATAAGAAATACTCGAACTATTCGTGGAATTGCAACACACCTATGTAAACCTTGTTAACTAGCTAACGTAATCATGTCGCACCTCCGCATTTAAGTGTCCAAATGACGTATTTATGTATATTGCTATAGTCACATAAATTCATATCTCTTCACGTCATACTAATACATATTTAAAGATATATAGCCCATTACTTTACGAGCATGAACAAAACTATTGTTATATTTCACTCAGCCATGAAATTGATAAAAAATTCTAGACGCATTTGTAATAGTTGTAGTTGTGGCTGTGGCGAGGAAAATAAAACTTGTTTGGAATTATTGATGTAGACAGAATTTGATATTGTGATCGATAGAGGTTTTTCTACCAAATAAATTATCCACATTCCTTTCAGTGCTCAATGCATTCCCTCACATCAACAAAGAAAGCTTTCAGAGTTGCTCCGATAAGTACGCATCTATCAGATAGATAGCATTCCATGGCTGATACTGGGACAGCTGCAGCTACTGTCGCTTCCCCGGTGAATGTCAGCGAAATGCTAAAGACAATCTTCACTTGGGGTTCAGGGCATCGAGTCTCAGGTCTCAAGTCTCGGGTCTCGAGTCTCGAGTCTCGAGACACTCGGGTCTTACGATTTTAGCCGAGTTTACAATGCTTCTGGCGAGACTTGGCAACGAGTTGAGTTTTATATGAAGGTGACTTCTTTTCGAATGCATTACCGGTTTTTCTTCCCTCTCTCTCCCCCCTCTCTCCCTCTCTCTCTCTGTCTGTGCAACTGATCGCACTCTTGAGGAAAAGAGTAATGCAATATATGCACAAAACACAAACACAAACACACTCACAGGTGTAATCTACCTTTACATACCCTTTCATAGAGTGTATATATAATATCTATTTGTTATTTGGGACTGTAAGCATTAAGTTTTGTTTATTTTAAGTAAATTCAATTATTTACTCTTATTATTTGAAATGCCTCGACAACAAAAAATAAATTAAATAGAATAGAGTATGTCAAATTCGTATAAGTAAAAACGGAATCTATTAATTTGTTATTTTTTTTTAAATAGTGTTTGTCTACTACGGCTAGCAAGAGTCAGAGCCAGAGCCAGCGCCGGACTCAGCGCCAGAGCAAGCTAAATCGCATATCTCACCTGGACACGACGTGCGACTGTTGCACTTCTTTTATGCCATTTTGTCTGTGTAGGTGAGCTTAGGAAAGTAAGTGCTGGCTGTGAGAGTTTGCAGTTGGCCTCTTGCTCTGGTAAAGCTACCGAATCGGCGAAGAGAATTGGGCCAGCGAATGATTAGATAATGCCGACTTAAGCTGAAAATTTATGTCATTAATACGTTCACTAGTTCGAACGCACACACACATAAACACTACTGCATGCATGTGTTTTAGTGTATTTTAGATATGGCACAGCAAAGGCAGCAGCGTGCAGGTAATGAAGCCACAGGTAGGTAGACGACAAACAACTACAAACTCATACACACACTCGCTCACACACACACTAATGCACTCGCGTTCACGTAGCGCTTTGAGCGACTCGTCGTACTTGGGAAAACATGTGCGATAGAGCGAGTAAACTCTTGTTGTTTGATCTCTGTTCACATGTTGTTGCTCTCGCACTTGTGCTCCATATGCTTACTCGCAAATGACGAAATCTCATCCCTCATTTTCATTCAAATTCAATGTCTCTGGCTCTGGCTGTGGCTCTTGCTCTGGCTCTGGCTTGAACTGCACTTGCAAGCAGCAATTTTGCATCTTGGTCGGACAAATGAATATTCATATGAATTTGTTACAATTTAGACTCACCGTGCGTTTGTGGGCTGCGTAAAATACGTTGCTCTCGAATGAAGCGAAGTAATCCAAACTTTGATAATGATCTCTAAAATAAACACACAAACGTTATCCAAAAACGAAAACAAACACAAACTTTATCTGAAGGTTTTTTCTAGCACTGCAGATTAATACGTATGCATGAATGTGAATGGAAATTTTTTTGCTTATTTATTATAATTTAAATTATTTGTCACGTTCTCAACAAGCTGAGTATATGGCTAATTTGTGTATTATACTTTGGCTTTTTGTTAGTTAAGTGAAGCAGTTGCTCCTTATGTTACCGATATCTCGTGTGCGGTAGAAGTACCGTTTCTCTCGTAACGAATGCGTTTTAACACCTGTTGAAGTTCAAACTCGACTGATCGTTGCGCTGCGGCAGTTGAATATTCCGAAGATCTGTTGTTGCAGCTCTGTGCTGTGAATTCACTGTTAAGCATATCGATGACAACACAAAAAGTCGATGATTTTATGAAGCCCGCCAGCTGACGCCATCTATTGAGTATTTGGTATGCACCGAATAACCAGTTCAAGTTAAATCAGCACTTATACCTAAAAGATATATTTATTTTATGGCATAATTTTCTGCGTTCTTCATTTTATACTTTTTGTAAAACGTAAGAGTATGCAATGTGTCTACTGACAGTTCTAAACGGTTTCGTGGCAACAAATTAGTTATCGACATTTTACCCAATATGCACAATTAAAACGTAAGAAATACAGCATGCTGTGAAATAAATAATATAAAACATAAATAATTACTTATTACCTAACTTTTTGTTTGCCATACATTTTTTCAAAAAATTTGGAAATATCTCTACAAAGTGTGACCGCAACAGTATGGCGTTGGCAAAAACAGATTTAGAACAAAGTTGACTTTTAGTAATAACATTTTGGCTTAAACAACACGCAACGAAAGCACTCCAAGTGTTTATAATCAATACAGTTTGGACAAAAAATCTAATCCAAAATTGCAGTATTTTAAATAGTTGTCTAGGCGGGCTACCAAAATCGAGGGCTACCACAAAACAAACAGGGATGCAACACGGACGCAACAAGATTATGACATTTTCGCCTGTCAAAAATTTTTGTCGTCCGCTCGCCCGATCTAAGCCTGTTATTGTAATTAATAAAATTTTTGTATATTCTGAGAATGTTTTCTGCCAACACACACTCAGTGGTAAGTGTAGGCCAACTACGATCCCGATTCTGAATTGCTTTCGCTCCAACATCCACTGACATTTTTTGGTTTTTATTCAATGTCAGCCCTACCTTTATCTGGGTAATTTTAGTCGAAAACCGCACTATTACACAGTGAAGCGCACCAAACTGCAAACAAATGGTGGTGTTCCACGTTTCTTTGCTGACAAATCACGGTCCTCCAGCTCCAGCATTAACAGCAACAGAAGTATACCGGCCCAAGCTAGAAGCTACGACCTCGTGTTGGACTTCAAGAATCTGCTCATCAAGTCGGGGATCAGTTTACAAAGCATTGTAGAGAAGGCAGCGCGTCTGAATGGTATATTGGACAAGGAGCTCGTCAATAATGCTCTGATCAGGGTTACCAGCATGTTGCCCTCGATGCGCAATGTCCATGTCACACTGGAGGAGCCAGCAGCACAAACAGCTGATCTTGGCAAGCAGCATGTAAATTACAAGTTTAAACTGTCACTGGACGCCATGAAAAATGCTGAGCTTGTGTGCGTATAAACTGCATCAACTCTTACTCATTCACTAACTGAAACGTCTCAATTGCAGTAACTTTCATTCAAAGTTGATGAAAGGTCTGTTGAGCCCCATGTTTGGAAGCCATCATTTGTAAGTAGGATTGTCAATTGCTGGAGTGGAATGCTTTGAAGACTTTTTATCTTGTCCTCAGTAGACAGTTCCGCGGCTTCAAGACAGATCGTTCCATTGAGGCGGAGCAGAAGCGTAATCCCACAATGACAACCAGACTGAAGTCAGCGCTACAAGGAACGCCACAGAAAACTGATGGCGAGCTTAACATTCAAGCAGAGAAGCTTAAAAAATTGCTGTCCAAATCAGAGGAACAGGGCAATGTAAACAATGCGGTATATAATTCATGCCTGTATTTATTTCTTAACCCTGTATAACTCTGCTTGCAGGAGAGTATAAAAATTGCTTTTGCTGAAGGATACTTAGCCGCATCGAACGCGGAGGATTCGCAGAAATCAGGAAAAACAATGAAGTACCTGAAGGTAGGTTCAACACCCAAATATTTAGCCTAGCTTCCTGTGTGATGAGCCTTGTTTGTTATGCGCCGAAGAAAGCCTCTGCAAGGGCGAACAATTCAAACCGAATTGTCTGTGGGTTTCGCCACAGAGTGCTTTACTTCTGGCTTGTAATATTGTGTCGCCCATCCGCTCCTTAGTGTTGTGAATAATGCTCAGTAATTGTCACGCAGATTTTCCAGACACTCATTGTTATCGTTGTTTTCATTGGGATCTTCATGAGTTTCTTTACCTCATCAAATGGATCTGTATTCCGGTGAGTATTCAAGCCTCGTCTTCTCCCTGTCTCTGTGCCAAATAATTATAAAAACATGTCTTTTAGCAGCATACAACTAGGGAATCAGGTTGAAGTTGATCCAGAGGAAATTCACGTCACATTCGATGATGTCAAAGGCTGTGATGAGGCAAAACAAGAGCTTAAAGAGGTGGTGGAATTTCTCAAGAATCCCGATAAATTCTCAAATTTAGGTGGTAAGCTGCCGAAGGGCGTGCTCCTCGTTGGCCCGCCGGGCACTGGAAAGACTTTGCTTGCTCGCGCTGTTGCTGGCGAGGCAAATGTTCCATTCTTCCACGCTGCAGGTCCTGAATTTGACGAAGTCCTGGTAGGACAGGGCGCCAGACGTGTTCGAGATCTATTCAGTAAGTATTTGAGATTGTTTCCCAACTAATTATTACTGTATTATTTGTTATATGAATCATCAACAGAGGCTGCGAAGGCTCGTGCTCCCTGCGTTATCTTCATCGATGAAATTGATTCGGTTGGCGCAAAGCGCACGAATTCTGTTCTCCATCCGTATGCGAATCAGACGATAAATCAGCTGCTCTCCGAAATGGATGGCTTCCATCAGAACGCTGGTGTCATAGTACTGGGTGCGACGAATCGTCGAGATGACTTGGATCAAGCATTGCTCCGTCCAGGTCGTTTTGATGTTGAAGTTGTAGTCTCCACTCCCGATTTCACGGGTCGCAAAGAAATCCTTTCTCTGTATTTGGAAAAGATTCTGCACGATGACGTGGATCTAGATATGTTGGCTCGTGGCACCTCAGGATTTACGGGCGCAGATTTGGAGAATATGATCAATCAGGCGGCTCTGAGGTGAGTTTACCAGTAATGTTATTGACTAATATCTAATTGTCATCATCTTATTCGCTTTCAGAGCTGCCATTGACGGAGCCGAGACTGTAAATATGAAACATTTGGAAACAGCAAGAGACAAAGTACTAATGGGGCCAGAGCGTAAAGCCCGCCTACCCGACGAAGAGGCAAATACAATAACAGCCTATCATGAGGGAGGGCATGCTATTGTGGCCTTCTATACAAAAGAGTCGCATCCTCTGCATAAGGTAACAATTATGCCACGTGGTCCCTCTTTGGGCCATACCGCCTATATACCAGAGAAAGAAAGGTATCATGTGACAAAGGCGCAATTGCTGGCAATGATGGACACAATGATGGGCGGACGTGCCGCGGAGGAGATAATCTTTGGTGCAGAAAAAATTACGTCAGGAGCTAGCAGTGATCTAAAGCAGGCAACATCGATCGCCACGCATATGGTTAAGGATTGGGGTATGTCAGAAAAGGTCGGTCTTCGGACAATTGAGTCGCCCAAAGGTTTAGGCACCGGTGATTCCCTAGGACCGAACACTATTGAAGCCGTAGATGCTGAGATCAAGCGTATTCTGAGTGATAGTTACGAACGTGCGAAGGCCATTCTCAAGAAGCATGCGAAGGAACACAAAGCGCTTGCGGAAGCGCTGCTAAAATACGAAACTCTGGATGCTGATGATATCAAAGCTATTTTGAATGACAACCAGTAGTATTTTTCCAGATTGGCTTCAGATGGGCGTACACTGCATATACATATAATTACATATATTTTAGTTACAATATTATTATAAACGTAAACACTCTAAACAGAAATCCATTAGAGATCGGGACGCAGACGAGCAGTTAAGTAATAAAATGTTATACATATTTTTTATGTATTCTTATTCATATAAACGGAATAACAATACTGAACGCGCGAAGTTCTTCGTTCGTCTTTGCATTTGAATCGAATCATATATTCTGTTGTTTTGGCTTCTCAGGTAACAACACGTAAGCCTCAAATACGATGGCTAAAAACGAACAGCAGTTGCACTGCTAGTAAGCGGCGCGGAAAATTATGTTATCGATAAAATACTAGTGCAGATTTCAATTTATCATTTTAGAGAAGAATAATTAAAATGATATAGGAAAAAAATAAATAATTTAGGAAAATGAGCATATTGCTTCAATAAATCCGGCCTAAGTGCTCATAACAAAGAAATCTGCCACAAAAGGTAATCATCATGCTGGTGTACATTATGCTTGTAGGCGTATTTTAGTATTTTTAGGGATAACATTTAAGTATTTTCGCATCGGGCGTTTACGGTCTTACCAAAAGTTAATTAATTGTAAAAAACTTACAAGTCAACTTTTCGTCTAGGAAAATTCACAAAAATAATAAGTTAAAATGTGCGAATATGAGTTTTCTGAAACCGCATACACAAAAATTATATTTCATGCGGCCAAATACCCACATCAAGCTGTGAACGGCTTGCTGCTGGCCGATAAAAAAGCAAAAGGTTCTATAGTCCAAATCACAGATGCAATCCCTCTTTTCCATCAATGCCTGGGTGTTACACCTATGGCAGAAATAGCACTAATGCAGGTTAGTCTATAAACGATACACTAAACAATTAAAAGCTGTGATCGGAAATTGTTGCACTCGCAGATCGATGCTTACGCCGATAGCGAGGGACTGGTAATCGCCGGTTACTATGCTGCGCCGGAGAACTTTTACGACAACCAAATCGACAAGGCGCCAGCTGCCAAAATAGCGGACAAGATACAGGAGAACTTCAAGAACGCCTGCTTTGCCATCGTCGACAACAAGCTGGTGTCACTGGAGCACAATCGAGCTGCGCTGCAGGTGTACGGGTATGCGACCGATTCGAACCGCTGGTCAAAGGCCAAATACTCACTGGTGCACACGTCTCAAACGCTGGAGGGAGTGTCGCTGCTGCTGAAGCGAGGTGCCATGCGGGATGTGATCGATTTCGACAATCATCTGGACAATCCCGAGAACGACTGGACCAATCAGTTCTTAAATCAGTCACT